GCTGTGAGAGCAAATATTATTCCTTCTGAGATTGTTGAATGTGTCATGGGCAGAGTTGACACTATTATGGCTAAAGGTACCCTTGATTGTGGATCGGTTTCTCAACAGTTGGCATTTTACATCCTTGGGAGCACACTCTTTGGGGATGCATTTTTGGATTGGCCTAAAGCTAGCATTTATGAGAAGCTCCTTATAACAATTTCTAAAGATGGTTGCTTCTGGGCCTCTTATACAATCCCTCCTTTCTGGAGTAGAGAATACTGGAAGTACAAGCACATGTGCAAGAGGTTAAAGCACTTAACCCAAGACATTATTCAGCATTGTGTGGAAAAATATGACTTGTTAAGCAAAATTGGTCACAGTTCTTACAAAGATAACAAGGATATTGAAGATGAAGCCAGGTTCAATGATTCTGTTCTGCCTGATAATATGCCTTCAGGTGTTCTCCTCCAGGAAGAGATGGCAGAGTATCTCAATTCCAAAGAAGAACTATGTGGGAACATATTGGGCCTGATGTTTCATGGATGTCTAGCTACTTCTAGCTTGATTAGTAGCATTCTGACAAGGCTTGCTTTACATCCTGAATTGCAGCAGAAGGTAGATCTTACTTTAATTATATGCATATTTCAGCTTTGTTATCTGTTGGTGTTTCTTCATATGATCTTGTTTTACTCTCAAAGTGATTGAAAATGACAATCTTCATTGTTGAAGGTTGGTGGTGCTAACTGCTAATGAATTGTCAACTTTGTATGATCGGGCTAGACCATAAATTTGGTCTCAGCCAAAGGACCTTTTGATCAGAACTCTAGTAACTTGATAAAGCAATATGTGAAACAAATTTTTGTGTATTCCATCTTTCTTAGGTTGAGGAGCTGAATTTGAAAGCTAAAACTAATGAACATTCTAGAGCAAAATAATTTTAATCACTGAACATGTATTCTAGAAATGCCCGGCTAACTATATATGATCTCTTATCTATCTTCTCTGCCACAGTTATATGCAGAGATCCTTGCAGTTCAGGAGAAAACCTGCAAGTTGGACTCTGATGATGTACAAAAGATGAATTTACTTATGGCTACAGTCTACGAATCAGCTCGGTTATTGCCAGCTGGACCTTTGCTTCAAAGATGCTCTCTTGAACATGGTAATGAACCCTTCCAAGTCTAATTTTTTTCAATTTAATCAAACTTTCTGAAATATTCATTTAAGCATTGAACATTTTAGTTTCATGTTTTGTGTTGACAAGGTCATTGTGGTTGCTTTTTGTTTTCTTCTTCTCTGCAACCAACACATAGTAAAGTCTCTCTCTCTTTTCGTTCTTGATATTTTAAGCATGCTATGTTAATAAATTGTAACACTTTAAGAGAGGCATTTTAGACAAATAGGCCTACATATCTTTTGGATGGTAAATTGCTAATATAAAGACTGATGAAATCAGCATACAAGCATGAGTGTGTTACTTATATCTGCTCTGAGTTATTTGATATAAATGGCTTTACTTTTTAAGCATCTTACATGCTTGTTGCTCTGTGCATGGAAATATTGTCATTATACAGATCTTTTAAATAAATTGTTTGCTGGAGTAATCTAAATATCATTACAGGGAAAATTTCTGTTGCTATTGATGTATTCAAACACTTCAACTTGATATTCTTGAGGATTTAAGGAGTGACTCTCATTTTCCCACTGCAGTATACATAGATCTCTTATTATGTTCAGTTGACTCAATAATTTCTTTATACTGTGGAGATGAAGTTTTAAACATGATGTTAGACCGATAAATGACATGTTGGCAGCTAAAAGTCAGCACTGATCGAATTAAAAATAAATTGGAAAAGGGTATCAAGATAATCTAGTAAAAATCTGCATACCTCTTCTTCCCTTGCTTGCCAGCAGTTCTGAGACTCGAGACTTTTGTCTCCTCTTGTTCTTTTTTGTCCCTTTCCTTGCCGCATTCAGAGAGTTGCAAATCTGAGGCAGTGAGGGTTTAGTTTTCATGATTCTTGCAGTTTAAATTAACTGCTTTGCAGGTTCAAATTCAAGAAACACTCAACATCATTTGCATTTGTGTCTATATGAGGTCCATTCAGCTTGTGGCTCCTTTAGTGATGAATATGCTTTCTACAAGTGCCTTTCTTGCTCAGTGGTGATGTATGGATGCAAGTTTGACTATGAAGTATGAACCATCGTTGTACTAATTGATTGCTTGCTATCTCTGAAAATTATGGTTAGAAAATCAATTTATGGGGACAGTCAACTGGAGATATCTGATTTAGTTGAAGTGATGATCACCATGTGATTTAGAAGCTTGGTTTTTAACTTTACACTATGTTTCCTAATTTGGATTAAGAATGAGAGCTTAGTGATTTGGATGACTTAGGTTACATGGTGCAACTTTACACCATGTGATTTATAAAATTGGTTATTAACTTTACAACATGTGATTTATAAACAGGAACTTCTTTTGAAATTTATGATCAGATATTTGATTATTCAATGGTTACATGGTAACATGTTTCTCATTTGAAGACATTCATGGATGACTTAGGTTTTAGCTTCTTCTCTACAACTGTTAGTTGAAGATCGTAACTTTTTTGTTTATAGTTTGCTTCTTACAAAGAATGGTATATATCAAGGATGTAACTTTGTACCGTACCAAAGTTTTGAACATAGCTCGATACAATACGAGAGTATTAAGTGGTACACCGAGGTGTACCGCTCGGGCGAGGAGGAGGCGACATCTCATCTGTGACATCCGGTGAGGGAGGGCGGCGATGGATCGGGATCGTCGAGAAAGAGCGGCGTCAGATCTCTAGGTTCTCCTGTTTCTTCTCCCTCTTCTTTCTTCTCCCTCGACTAATACCACCCGGTAGCGGGTGGCGACGGTTGAAATCGACCGTCATCAACCGATTTAGGGTGGTAACGGGGCCGAAGCAGCCCCAATCAATGGTACCGTCCGGTACAGGTGGTATTATTCGAAATTAAAATTTTTACTATATATTGAGCAATGTTAACTGAAATATGATATTGTCATAAATATTTATATTGTCCAAATAAGTTTTTTCATGTCACTAATGTGCTAGGCATAATATTTCTTATTAATAGTAACAGGTCAGACTTTTATGGACTAATCTTGAGTTTCCAAGGAGTTTAGAACTTGGATAAGGTATATAATAATGATTGAATAAAGTAATTTTCTGTCCTGTAGGGTTTATGATGGAAATGCTTTCCCACTGGATGGAACCCATGATAACTTCCCCGTTTTTGAGAATGACTTACTTCCATTTCAGGCATCTTGGAAGCTTGGGTCGGGAAGTTGATCATGTGTTTGGAAAAGAGTAGCTTATGTAATTGGACCAGGACTACTGTGAATCCTTTAAGATTCAGCGGTAGTTGTTGACAAAGCTTTTTAACACTTTGATGTATCAAGTGAATTATCATGTCAGTTTGTTACCTTGATCCATGGTATTCAAAAAATTAATTCTACTTATCATGGTTTGTCATAGTTGATACTACAATTATTGAAACCTAGAATCTTTATGTCTTCTCTGACAAGATACTTAAATTTTTATTTTCAACCTATTCAATCAGCATTCCATGTGTGCTTTACACAGTTGTACTCAGTTGATGTCACATGGTTGCTTGAATGTGATTGTTAATCAGGCTGTTTAATTGGAGATTTCTTTTTGTGATAGCAAAACAATGCAGTTAAAGAATATGGCTGACTTAAATTCTTGACATGCTAATCTTGAAAAGAATGTTGCATTAATTTCTCATCTTTATTGGAAATTTGTTAATGTCTTTTAATTCTGAATTGCAGATATTTATCTTTGTTCTGGCGTAAATGTACCAGCAGGAGCAATTATGGTTGTTCCTTTACAGTTGGTGCAGATGGATAGCTATATCAGGGGCAAGGATGCCGGTCGTTTTAATCCATTGCGCTTCTTGTCGGAGGCCACAGACCATATAGGTACTGCTGCCATAGCATAATTGGATTTCTTTTATGCTCCTTGTGAACTTTCTTGCATCTCTTTGTGCTTAACTTTTTCTTTTCCCATGTGTAGCAGTAAAACAAGTTTACTATGTTTAATACACAGTGTAGTTTAATCCTAGTATCCTGGTAGCCTAATATCTTGTGCACAAACATTTTAAGGCCCATTCTAGTGAAATTAATTGAACAAATGAATGTTAGTGCAATTAGATTTCTACTCCCGGAAAACTAAATTTCTGTACTATGACGATTTTTTAAAAGTTTTCATGATGATTTTTTAATAATTTTCACCTATCCAAACTTGGTCAAATCAATTGAATCAATCACTCATCTAATCTAAATATTCTGTTGAGTGTTATAATTTAATATTTATCCTCTCAATACTTCTCTGAATTAATATGTAACATATTCTCATCTTTACTATTTTTTGCCTTTACCTTTTACTCTGAGCTTATATTTTAATCTGATGGAAATAAGAACTATGGGAAGGGCTTAACAGAGCTTGATGACTGGAACAGACCTATGTAGCTAAGTTGTAAGTTTTACAAGGGATTATGTGGCATTATGCCTGATTAGGCTAATCTGGTATTCTGTTAGTCTTTTGACATATCATTACTAAATTTACATGAGAGTTGGCATATGCAAAGTGCACAAAATCTTGTTGCTCACTAAAAATCAATTTTGTTATTGGTGTCCATATTATCGAGGATGCAAGACAAATGGAAAATGAAATCTAGGTGTAGCATTAATGTTGTCTAGTAACCTGAACTGTAGCTTCAACTTGTTTATGGTTGCATGAAGCTAACATGTCTCTTCAGTCAAACTGTACCTTAGGTTGAGAACATTAATTGACCATGCAGATGTAATTAATATTATCAAAACTTTGTATAATGTCATTGGCCGTTTTTGGATGAAGGTTTGTGATTTGCAAGTTCAGTTCAGTTATGTTGATTGCGAAAAATGCTCTCATGTGATTTTTACTGTATATGCAAGTTAAATTGACTTAATATTCTTTTTTAATAGCACTTAGGCACCCCATATTGAGCAATACTATGTAATTGTGTTTTTTATTTACTTTTCTATTTTTGGTGTTAAAACAAGGCCTTGTTGTCCATCTAGAACCAAATATGAATTGATGGTTGATTTTAGGTTAATTCAGTAGTTGTCTTCCTTTATCATTTTTGGAGGCCTATTCTCCTCCTTGAACTGCAGAATTCCCTGATAGAAGAGATATACATAATTGTGAAGTAAGGAAAATAATATAATTGTAGATGCCTCTCACATGTTATTTTAATGAAGTTGTAAATATATCAAGTTCATTACTACTAAAAGAAAGCATGATAGATGAAGTAAATAAGCACCTTTGAAACCATAGAATGATATAAAATGAATCTTGATGCACACTCATTTAAAACATTAGTACTAAAGGATTTCTTTTACAAAGAACCATGGTTTGCAGTACCGAACAGTACCGCCCGGTACGGGCGGTACGTACCGGTCCGACAGACTTTCGGTACACGGACCGCCTCTTACCGTTCCGGTACTGTAGCAGTACAGTGCTCGGCACACCCGGGTGTACCGCTCGGTATACCGTACCGTACCGATACCGAGCCCAGGTCGAAACTCCGGTACGGTACGGTATTGCGAACCTTGCAAAGAACACATGTTTTACTTTAGCAATTCAGGTGTCTTGTGGTAGCTCAATTCAAGAATTGGTATTTGGACTAAAGGTTTTCATTTTGTTTCTGCAATATCAATCTTCATGTCCTTAGACATGCTCTACATTTATGGTAGGTACCTTGATGGGAGGGAAGTTTGTAGATTAGGGTATAGAGTAGAGTTGGTCTTTATTTTTTTAAGGTTGAGATTCAAACCCTCAATAGAACTTGAGTGAGTCTAGTACATTACCACCAGACTAATAGTTTAGGTGTAGGGTAACTTCAAGAAATTGCATCACCGATACCATTGTCATAACTCAACATATGTGATGATATCTTCCAACATGGCACACATTTGCTCATGCCGACATGATAATTCTTGTTTAAAAGTGGAAACGAGCATAAAATAATCCTCCAATCGTGTGATTGCTTATACAATTGAAAGAGAAGGAACCTATGTTGAAAACCAGATGAAGATCCATGCATTTATGGAACCAAGAGGCAAAGCTAAATAATGCAAAGATTGAAGTCTCATGTGCCTGTCTGAACTGGTATTCTTTGGGCATGAAATTTGCATCATGACTCATTTCTAGATTCTAGTATTGTAAGGGTTATACAGGTTCTTCTTTACCAAAACTCACAAGAATAACATACAAAAGCATCAAAACC